AAAATAAAAATTTATTTATTTATACAGATTTTAAACAAATTTGAGCAAACAACTACAAAAACCAAATAAAAATAATACAATTAGTATACAAACACTTTTTACTGGGAAGAGAACTCTAATTTCCAAGTTCTAGTGACTTCAATTGTGAACTTTGTTCACAATATTACGTGAGTCACATGGGTACAATTAGAATCATAGTAAAGCTAACAATGACATTGATCAATTGTTACGCTTTTGGTATAAAGTTTTGGATTACTAATAGAAACTTTCTTTCTTATATTATTTTTTTTACTAATAGCAAAAATATGAATATTAATAAGTCACAGGACAAGGGTCTTTTAACAATGATTTATTTATAATGAAAGTTTTATTAAGAGAAATGTTGGAGCTAACACTTCTACTCGAATTTCAAAGGCCAATGCTCAACTGAGTTTATTAAAAGAGAAAAAGCTCACCTTTATATAATTATTTTTACATATAATGAAATTCTTTGAATCTAATTAATTTTTATCTATTTTATAACAAAAATATATTTATTTTAATTATCTTTCAGATACCTATAATCTAGAAGATACTAAGAATTCTCAATGATTCATACCACCACAACCACTAATTCGGGAATAACAAGAAAGGTAAAAATAGAAAAAAATAATATTTTATTATAATAATGATAAATTTAATAAAATTAAAGAGATACATATCTAATTTAATACTATATATGTTATAGAAAAAATATATATATATAATTTCTATTCTATCTCCATTTCATCATTGGTTTGACCAAGACCAAGATCTTCTGTAATCTAATTCTTTAGACAAATACAGGTAGAAGGCAATTTCTTGTTTTACTAATAGTTAAACCTGCTAAAGAAAATGTCTATTCACAAGGAACACTAGTTGCCTGAATAGTAAGATAGTTCTTTGTGAGCTCTGACAGAATTGGATATCTTTTTTGATATGTTTTTCCCCATGTCAATGAATCAGTATTTTCCTCTGGAGGGAGTTCTAGATAATTATTTAATTTTTCTAATGGAGTTTTTGGTGGTTGATTTTGTTGATAACATACTTTGATATTTTCAAAGTAGAACCTAGAAGATGCTAAAACTTTAGTAGATGAATCTTGATTGTCATTGTTAATAATAGAGTAGTATGGTTGTAAAATAACTTGTAGTCTTTGTTGTACTAATTCAGCTTGATCTGGTAAAAAATTAGTTAGCTTGGATCGAGATCTAAAACCATAGGAATAGCTGAGTAAATATCAAAATAATAATTTTAATATTTCTTTAACTTATTATAAATAGCTGATGCAATCGGATATTCACTAGATTTAATATCAAAGATACTTTTCTAGCTTAATGGACATGCTAGTAAATGCTGCTTAAATATTATTAATAGTTGGATAAGAAGCTGAAGATAAGAAAATGATAGCCTCATGTATTGGTCGCAAAATAGTCAATAGATTCTAAATAATAAGAAAAAGTAATCATTTTATAATATATAAAAAATATACAGGAGGTACTTTAAGTTACCAAATTATTTACTTGTACTATACAAATAAATCATTTGGTAACTTATAGTATCTTCATAGTTTATAAATTATTAATACTTATATTTATTTCTTTCTATTCATTCAAATTAAAATATAGATCTTCAAGTTCTAATAAATTATTATTTACAAGAAGTTGAACCATTTCCTTGATTTTTATTTGTCTCTCAATCATCACATATATAGATCCCCATCTTATTTCATTATCAAGAATGGGCACAAGATAAGGTTGTCTTTTAACTGAGTATATATTACATAACTCATTCAATAATTTTGAAGAATTTTTTACTTTTTTTACTAATTTACACAACTTAAGCAAGGTATTACTAGCAACTTTTACATCCTATATGACTGCTATAAGCAGCACAATGGTAATGCTCAAAAGAGATATTGCCAAAATCTATTGAATATATTGCTTTAAAAAATAAATAAATAAATAAAATTAAAGAAAAAAAAAAAAAAGTTAAAGAAAAATGCTAATCATTGTTAAACCAATTATTTTATTATTTAGACTAAACTTATCTAGAAGATGAGAAATTATACTTGCAATATTGCTCTCTATATAACTTTCATTTAGTAAAATAATATCAAGTAAGAAGTGCTTTAGTGTCCAATTATTGTCAATATGATAAAAAGTAATACCAAGATATGAATCGTTTGTATTGGAAGTCCAAACATCTGTAGTAAGACCATACTAGTTAATTTTGCAATATCATTATATAAATTTAAACACTGTTTATTAAAATTTTCAATTATAAGATCTTTAAGATGTTAACAAGTTGGTACTGGATATCTTTGATTTAGTAAATTTATAAATTTCTAAAATTAATTGTTTTCAATTGTCATGAAGGGCTATTAATCTATGATCATCCATTTTAAAAGAGCATCAATAATAGGATACTGCTGTTTGCATGAATATGAATAGTAATGATATATATTTGAAGGTGTGTTAATAGTATTATATTGTACAGGGTGTTTAGCATGTAAATAATGAGATAATGTTGATGTTAAGTATTTTTTACTATATTTTTATATAGCATACATGAAATATCATTATTATTTTTTTAAAAAAATTGCCAAACTTTCGAGATATAATTAGGCATTTTAACAATAGTTTCTTTATTATTGAAGAAGACCTTTTAGAGCTTTAGTTATAGTTTTTATCTACTTATATATAGATAGCATAGATCAAATTTGTAATATTATATAAAATTTGGGTTGATCAAATATTTGATATCTTGTAGTATAGCAATCAGACTTTGATAATTTTAATATTATCTGAATCATCTCAATGAAATGATTCAAATAATACTAAAATCATCGAAGCCTAATTACTAGACTACAAGATACCAATGTTTAATTAAAACAAATTTAATTGAATTTATACAAATTTGGTTGATAAAGACACATGAATTCTTTTGATAGCTTAGCCAAAAATATATATTGATTAATTGCATTATTATTTTTTAAAAATTTTGTAATTGACATGTTAATTTTCATATATATATATTTAATTTAATCAGTAATGATTGAATTAAATTAATAATTAAGAGGTTAGGGTCCCGTAGCCTAGTGGTCTAGGCGCCTAACTCTCCACAGACAAGGTCGACGGTTCAATTATAGCTGGTGGTAATTAATTTAATTAATTATCTCTGTAAC